TAGGAAACGCAATATGTATTTTGACCCTTCGATTAGGCGAAGAAACGAAACTTTGCCCATCAATTTTCATTGATTTCCACGAAACAGTGATACTAGAAGTTTCATTACTGAAATAGACGTGTCTCCGTACTATTTCGGATAATGAATCCTTCGACGTTCTTCGGATCTCTCGTTAATCTAGATGACAGTGGTATTTGAAATAATTTCTATCCTGTGCTATTCTAAACCTCCATCTCCCTCCTGCCACATTATCGACTACTAATAATCCAACTCTTGAATAATCTATCACAAAATAACCGATAAATCGATCAAGAATATTGATATTGGAATGTTGATTATCGTTGCTGAAGTCGGTATCATTATTGATACCGAGGTACCAATATTAATAAGAGAATATCAAAGATTATATGACTTGGAAAAAATATCGAAAACCACTGTGCTAATTAATAAGTTTCTCTATTTGAAAATGACTCTCTTACCGTCGCACTTCGTACCTGAACGAGCAGTATAAATCGAATACAGCTTAAATGGCACAATTTGTGCTGAAAAGGTCACTCTAGAAAACACGTAGCAAGCAATCTTCGAGTGATAGAAAGACCGGAACTAACGACCAGGGAAAACTGTTCGAGGAAAGGGTCGAAAAAAGGTATAAAAGCGTTTTCTCCTTGGCGCGTGCAGGATGCAATTGAAATTTTTAGTCCACTTCTCGAAATAAGGAAAATAGAATGAAAATTTTAATCGGACGATGGAAGAAAAAGGAAAGTACATTTTCGGTAAACTCGTAATCGAGGCAACTCGATCTTGTTTAACGGGGTGTTTCGAAATTGTTCAATGTGTTTGAAGTTTCAAGATCGAAGCTACGCTACTTTAATACCTGAAATTCGCTACCGACGTTTCGAAGTTCATTTTGATCTTTCACAAATTGCTTGCCAATTAACTATGCTCTCTTCGAAACATCATCATTGCAGCTAGGAGTTAGGTGTTCGCGTTAAAACTCGCACAAACTTGTTACCGGTACGCGAGCTCGTTAGCTGAAAGCTGTATTCGACTTCAATATTTCTTACTGCGAATAATTCTAAAAGAAATTCCGCGGAGAAGATAGAAAATTTCTACGAAAAATTCTAAGTCAACGAAGTGTATTCAAATTTTTTTCCTCGGCCAATTTTCCCGTAAATTTCCATACAAATAGGTGGAGGATCTTCCCAAAAGAGAATCACAATTTCTCTCACGTGTGAACGATACTTAAGGGCAGAGAAACAGCCAGGATTAACCCGCATCTGATTAGACCCCGAGGTCGAGCGAACCTCTCTCACGTGCAAACACACAGTCACACGCACGCGGTCCCCTTTCTTCGTGGTTCCTTTGTACCGGCGCGAAGGTGGAGGAGACGTACGAGTTTCGGTTTCACTGGAAAGGTCGTGAAAAAGGTAGCCATCGACTTTCTTCGACTTCTCGGAAGGTAAACGCATTCCCATCGTCCCGCGTCATCGTTTCGCGTGAGATAATGCGCGATACCTTCGCCTCTGGCCCCGTGTCCGCGAAAATTTCTGGCTGCCCCCTGCACGCCGACCCCTCCGCACCTAACTCAGAGACCCGCTCTTTTCGACCGTTTCTCCCTCGACGACTTTGTTTTCGCTTGTTTTAACCGCGGCTGATCTCGCCTTCGGTTACTCGAACACGAAGGATCCTCTTCTGTATTCTTATTTTTTTTTTTTTTTTTACGACTTTCCTACTTCTCCTTTTGTGGGTGGAGAGGAAGATTCTACTCGTTAAAGGTGGTCTCAACGGTTTTATAAACATGTAAATTAGCGAGAAGCTGCGGTGAATTGGAAATCGAAATTGGTCAGATTTACCGTGACAATTAAACATAAAGGACACGGGAATGTAAGATTGGGGAAAAAGAGCAGAAGGGAATTTGTTGGATATTGTAAGAAATAACGAGGAAATTTGCGGATAAAGAAGAGGGTTTATGGACACGAAACAGCTGGATTTCGTTAAAATGACCTAATTGCATGGAGAGCGTGGGAGAAATATATCGTTCTCCCCAAGGAGGTCTTAAAGTGGATCAAGCAACACAGATTGTAAAATTTTGCGTAGAAAATAAGGAAGAAAAATTTTCCATACTCTGTACCTTCTGTCAAAACGATATCTTTAAAAGTTAATCAAGTAATCTCCAAGTAGAAAATGTTATTCTAGCCAGTAAAGGAGGACCTTTTTACCTCGAAGTAATCACAATCAGCACGCATCAGCACTTCGACGAGAAATGTTCTTTCATCGAAAGTGGCACTAGAGCGGCCCCCGACAATACCTAAAACGTCGTGTTCCCAAAAGGACAGGTAACCCAGGCATAAATCTCTCATTGTGATGGGGCGAAGGGATAACGAAAGGTCGAGGGAACGACTCGTTTGAGCTACCGACACGTTAAATCTTCGATTGTGAACGTCACTTAAAACGACCTGTGTATATACAGAGTGAAAAAGAAAATATAGACGTGTATCCGTGTAGGCTATCATCATGGATGGCCACACGATTCTTTCGGTTAGCGAGCTTTCAAGCCACTCGATCGGATGGAGTTCGAGAGTGCTCGAAAATCCTGAGCACCGTTAAAATTGAATAAAACAGAAGTTTCGCCGCGAATTCGAAACTCTGGCTTACCTTTGCATCGGCAACATCCGAAATGCATTATTTAAGGGTGGTTCTTGTAAAACCGAGCCAAATATCATTAATATTTGATCGTTCCAGGTAACTGGAACGTGGAAAGTATCACGAAGAAACTAAAAGTCCCCGTGCATCTTTCTTGATTATTTATTTTTATTACAAATGTCTTTGCAGTCCCAAGCAGATTTCCTTGAAATATTAACAATTTTCTATCTAATTTCTAAAAGGACAATCACCATCTACGACGGGCAATAGCGTAATTCGAATCACTGATCATTGTAAAAGGAAATAACGATCGTACACACAGACGTTGGTGTAATATCCAAAGGATCTACTAGATCTCGTTGGATGAATCTCGAGGCCATCGCTAGCCTCTCGGCATAATACGCGTTCGTGTTTATCTGGTCGTCAGTGTGCACACGTATCAGTGGCGCACGTGGTGCACACACCAGCTAACAGGAACCGGACAGTTACAGTGGATGTGGATGTACATTCGCTTAGGCCATTGCCCTGCATAAATCCGAGCGAGAGGATCGCGAGATGCAACCAACAGTGTCTCCTCCGCTTCCAACGTTCCCTCTGTTCGCCGACTTTATTCCCTGAACTTTCGAAGATGGGTCAAGGGAGTCCTCCGCTGGGACCAGCGGTCAACGTTTCCTCGGGAAAGAATGTCACCAGGTTGGACTGGGAATAAAACGGTTCGACAGGAACTTTGCTCGTGATTTTCATTCTTTCGGAAATCGTGATGAAAGTTAAAATAGAAGAAGCATAAATGTTCATCTTTGTATTCTTCGTATCATTTAGCCAAACGATATTTCACGTTAGACCTTTGAAATCATCTAGTAGCTAAAACGATGGTTCGGAAGGAAAGAAAACGGCAATCAGCTGAATTGTTACGAGCTGAATGGCGAACAGCATCGTCCGTAACAGCGGCCATAAATTTCATCGTTCCACTGCACGTGTTCGAACGTAACTCGCGAGCCTCGATTGGTCAATCGCCGGTAGTGTTACTTAATAACGGAAATCAGTTTATCGGCAATTTTCCACGGGACGTAAACAAAACGCGAGAAAAGACGTTGGCGTGAGATCCAACGACCGATTGCGATATTTCCACGAAGAAAGTAACTTGGAAAAGAAGAACGACGTTGTGCGATGCTGAGGAAGTGTACGTTGATGATACGAAAAATGATGCTTTTTTCTGGTGTCATTTCCGAGCGAATAGCATAAGGAATGACGGATAAAACGATGATAAAGTATTTAATGTTTCAACGCGTGGTTTATGAGGGGAAACAATATGCCTCGGGGGATTAATGCATAAAGCAAAGAGTTACGATTGCTATCACGAGCAGGAAGGAAAATAAACCGTGATGAGATAATAAATTTCGTTAACCGACTCGAGAGTAGAGAAACACAGAGAAAGACATAGGGAAAGGGGTTAGATAAAATTGGGGAAGAGGTGAATAAAATTCCCGGTTTATGAAAAGTCAAAAAATTGTCATTTCTATCGTTTCGAAAGAGAAAGTAAATTTCAGGGAACGATTCTAAAAATAACAAAGTTAATCCGTTCTTGAATGAAAATGAACCGTCCACGAGGTAAACAACGATTCGACGAGCGGATGGCCGGTAAAACTTGGAAACGGACGAGGAAAAGCTCGGAGATTTTCCTCGTAAAGGATTCAAATCCTATCCGGTGGGTGGCAAGAATGTAGCTGTGGCAATCAACGAGGAGAAACCGCGAGAGGACTGTTTTAACTGTAAAACGCAGGTAACTTCTCCGACTAGCCACGTTTGTTCGTCAGTGGACAGGGACGTACGGGTTGTCCGACAGTGCCCCTCGAATCTCGTTAAACACTGGCAATTTCATATTATGATAGCACCGTAAAAGAACAGTCGCTTGGAACTCGATCACTGTTGGCACGTCGAACGAGGTCGGACAAGAGTTTTCACGAGGGCGTAAAAAGAAGCAGCGAGGTGAACGTGGACGAAATATGAAATATGAAAGATGAAGAGCTCCTTCGGTGGATATTGAGATTTTCAGAGATCGTTACGTCGCTTGATACGACTGGAAATATTTTAATTAACGTACTGCAGGGGTGGAAATGAAATATACTTCGTATTGAGCACGTTTCTAGCGATTCTTTGATACAAACGAAAGAAGAAACAACCTGATAGTCGCGCTCGAACGAGCAGGGAAGCAGAAGTGTAACTAAGAAGAAGAATCTACCGTGTCTCTCCCTCCATTTGTGTCCGTATTTAAATCGTGCAGCGTCCGTGAAATCGACGCTGTCGAGAGAAGAGAAACGCGAAGAAAAAGAAGAAGAAGAGGATGGCCAGTGGCGTACCTTGCAGCTTCTTCTCAGTCTCCCAGAACTTCTGCAGCTCCGTGAAGTACTTGTCCAGTATGAAGACCTTGGAGAGGCCCAGGGTGGCCATCTCAGGCGGTCGAGGCTCGTTATCGGCCAGAATTTTCCTCGGCTTATCAGGGTGGCACCTTTTCACCTTGGCACCACTCTCCTACTACACGATTTACAAAACACCGCCGATCACGGAACGATCGAAACTCTCGAGGATTCACTGAACAAATCACCTGGACATCTCACGGTGGTGCCAGCTCATCGTGTCCTCGGCACACTCGTCACCGCACTCGCACATCTTCTTCCTCCTTCACCTTTTTCTCCTCGTCACAAGCAGGAAAACTGCTGAGTCGTAAATAAGAAAAAAAAAAAAAAAAAGAAGAAGAAGAAGAAAACCCTTGACAGATCACATCACGCTCGATGGGAAATCGTTTACCCAGGCGACGCGAAACCGATTCGAAGAACTTTCTGTTCGGTATCACCAGGAAACTTGTACGCGCGCGAATAGGATAGTTTTACTTGAGGAAATTTCGAGAAACATCCTTTTTAGATGGCTACCGATCAGCGAGGGTAACCGATACGGAAGAAGAGGATCAAGAACGTTCGATTGATTTCATTGGTAGACTTTTCTTGCCACCTGTTCGGTAAGCTTCGAAGCTTTTTCTGATGAATGCAAAGTGACACGAGGCGGCGTTCGCAGGAGCACGAAGAGTGGCGACTCGTCGAGTTCAACTGGGCGTCATTGTTGCCTGGAACCCAGCTCCGTGGCTGGGCCCTATCTCTTCTAAGGTGGATTCGAGATAACTCCTTGGCCTGGCTCACCTGGCTTCACCAGTTAGGTGGAAGCCACCGCAGGCGTACCGGGGTCCAGGATGTCTGGCCGTGGAGCACACAGCGAAACGATAGAAGTGGGGAGAGTGTATCGGGCCCCTCTCTGCTTTGACTGGACCGTTGCGTCGTGTGGATGCTGAGATGGAAAAATGGCTGAGGCCCTAGGACTAACCTTAGCCATCTCCCTCGACCTCCTCCTTATTCCTCTTCTTCCTCTCGACTACGCGAGAGAAACTCGATTCCGCCTCGACGACGACGGTGTTCCAGGTTCCTTCGTTATGCCTCGTTCGATGAACCGTTGTTTACAAATACCGGAAAACACGGCGGTACGTGGATATGAAAAGTCTTTGAATTTTTTAGCGGCCACACGAATGGACTAAAGTGTCGGAAATGAATTATTTGGTGCAACGATGATTTTCAACTGAAACTTTGATATCAATTTAAACGTTCCTACGAAAGTTTTCAGGATTTTTTGACAGAACCACGTGTTCAATAGGAAAAAACATCTGGTACGGGCAACCTGTCTCTTCGAAATTCATCATTCAACCTTTCGTGATCCGATTTGAATTGCTCGCACCGGATGGACATTTGTCTCTCCCTATCGAAACTTTTAACCCGTCGTTCTCTTCATGAATTTCACTCAACTTTAACAGCCGACGTTTGACGTATACCTAGTTTCTATACCGGTGAAACGGGACAACAACCGTGAAGGGACAAAAATTCATCAATGTCTCTAAATTGATTTCAACCAATTAACCGATATAAGAGCTCCGAGTCAATATAGAACGCTCTCGTTAACCAGGAGGGAAATAAAAAAGCTAAGCTTCCCTCGTTTCGTACCGTTAATTGCTCTATGGGCAGACCCATTAACTGTCGACGTTTTCACAACGAACTTTGCGTAATGTTCTTCTTAATTGTATAGTGTATCGAGGACAGGACGCATTTTCAATGACATACTTATCGATTCGCTGAATATAATTGCTAGATACCTCGAACAACGACTCATTGTTAATTGCTTGTTACCTGTGTCTACCGGTAAGATCCTTTTACACGTGATTTATGCCCGCCTCGAGAACGCTCGAGTGCGGTTTGGTTAATGGACGAGTGGAAGGCATTATTGCTTAGTTTACAGCATTCGTGTAAAACATTTAAGTATTCTATTTTTCGAATAGTTTCATTACTTGCCTGTCTATCGGCGATGGTAATTGGGTCTTGAAAATGGTACCTTTCACGGCGATGTATACGTCTCTTCTAAAACTTGTCTAATTGAATCGTTAATTTGAAAAAGGAGGGTACAGTTATAAAACGGAGCGATTAAGCTGAAAATAGCGTAGAATCTTGCTCGTTCCATTACCCTGAAACGTTTAAACGTTCTCTTGCAACGTCGACGAGAAGCACTCGAGCAACAACTACATGTAAATACCCTTTAACTTTGCGTCCCTTGGAGCTTCGAGAGCCGCTAAGTCAGCGTGAAGTCGCGCGATACACGCCCCCCCCCCAAAACTACCCTGAGCTAACCTCAAACCCGTATTTCACCGGTAGCTCTTTCAACGTATCCGGATATCTTGCCAAATGAACTTGCTCGAACAATTTCGAACAATAACGTCGAACGTTTACGTGCCTCTCGGCAAAGTACCTGGCTGTATTTCGTAGATAAAGATGAGAGGAAAAAAGAGAGTCACTCTTCGTGGTCGTTTAACGATGAACGGCTATCGTCGCTCTTAAAAGTAAAAGGGTTAATCTGGTACGAAGAGAATGGAAGCTGCTCTCGTTTCGACGAAGGGGCCAAACTCGATCACAACAGCCAGCACTGACTTTGGTTAAGAAGAACCGATAAGAGGGGCGAGGACAAAGATGAGAGAAGAGGGAACAGAGAGCCTGATCAGAGGATCCAGAACGGACGTCCCGAAGCGTGTTCCGCCTTATAATTTTCATCTACAGCGCCGAGAGGAATCCAACATGGCCGTGGTTCTGGCCTACCCTATGTCGTAAACAGTGCAACATGCTTGAAACTCTTCCTTTGAAACATTCGTTAGGAGACTTTTTGGAAATTAGAAAATTTCTTCAAATTTAAAACAGCATAAATATTCAAATTGCAAAATTCAATTTTCCTATTTGATCTGAAATTTCTGAAGAATCTGTTCTAGAGAGAATTTTGGTCAGTTTCATGCAAAATAGCCGAGTGTGTTGTTAAAATCTGATGCGCGACAGGTGCTGCGATGGGCAAGCTGGGAGGGCCAACGTGTCCTCGAAATTCGGGCTCTCACACTTTCCGAGCATGCGCTCGTTAATCAGCCGTGTGGCCCTTCGAATAATCTCCTTGCGGCTGATCCTTGAACAAGAACCTACTTAGTCTCGGAGAATGTTCGGCTATCGAGCCAACTCGACATTTTAATCACTATCATCCTCCTTCGGAATCATCTTTCCTCTTCATTCGCCACGGTTGTATTAACCTTTTGGTTAATTTGATAGTGGTGAAGTGGCGACTCAATTTTAAGCATTTCTCCATCAAAAAATCATAATATTTAATAAAAAAATCTATTTAAACAGCCCGAAAAGGTACCGCGACTGCCACGCACACCCTCGACGCGTAATTCCGTGGCGAATCTGTTCGTGGCACAGCAACGAGGCGAGTTTAATCTCCGCATAATCGTGGTCGAAGAGAGTGGCCAGGTAGAGGAGAAGAAAGGGGAGTAGAGTTGGGTCCGGTAGTGGTCGTCGGCCCCTGGTGAGACCTACCTCTCCTCTTCTTCTCAGCGGCTTCCCCACGAAGCCTAGCGGAGGGTCGTAGGAGGCCCACAGAGTGGGACATCGAGTGGTTGTTCAGCAGAGGGAAGGGAGCTGTGTTGGAAGCGAAAGAGGGGACAAGACGGCAGCTAGAAGTAGCGACGAGTACCTTTTCTACGTGTTTGCTGCCTTCTCGAGATAACTAATTCGCATAGGCAAAGAATCATGGATTTCGAAATTAAATTAATAAAGTTTCAAGCCCTTGATATCAATGACAAAAATAATTTCTAAAATGATTTACCAAACGTTCGTTTAATCACCTGGACTCATCGAGGAACAGAAGAAGAAATATCTTTTCGTAAGATAAAGTCTTTACAAAGGTGGGTTCATTAAAAAGTCCTCGAGTTCGAGTAGCGTGTAATCGTTCGGGTAAACGAAAACACACGAAGATGAAGAGGGAACCAATCGGCTACCCCTCGTCGTTGATTTTAGGCCCGGACTCTTCTCCTTGATCGTATGGAGAAAGGTGAACGCGGTGAAAAGAAGGAAGAGGATCCGCTCTTTGCGGTGAAATTCAAATCTCCACCAAGAGATCAGCCGTGCACGCCCCGTACAGAACCGGTTTCGAAGCGATCGCCTCTCGATTCCAAGCAGTGGGGGTACCTTGGGCCCGAGGGCCCATTTCTAAGGCATCTTTCTACTAACTTCGCGTCGATAAAGCAGGAAACGAGCGAAGGATAAATGGGCCCGTTGTACCTGCAGCACGATCTGGCGAGGAAATTTGTAGATTGCGTTCTTCAGGTAGTTTACCGATCTTTGAGAAAAGTTTGCTGCCTACTAGAAAGGGCCTTATCCGACTCTGTAGGTGAATTATCGATACTTTGGATATTTTTCAAACGGTATTGATGATCCCTTTAAAAAATTTTCTTCAATTTTTAGTAGAAATTTGGAATTTGGAATTTTTTATGTTAGTGTCCCTTAGCTTATTTTTCATCTAGTTCACTAATTCTAATTTGAAAATTGATCATTTCGTGGCAATTATAATTCCCTAAATTATTTTATAAAATATCCAATCATCAGTGTGAAATTAATGATGATACGGTACTCATCGATGTACAGGGTAAATTATTATTCTAGCTTGTGAAAAAATAAAGAACCACATCGAGTCTGATGCAACAGTAGGAATTATCTCTCTTAGCTTTAAGTTTGATATACACGGTACGTGTACGTGTGTGCTCAACTCATTATGGTAAGTCACGACCGTAAGACTTGACTCCCTTAATCGAAGGTTAAATCGTGCCGCATGGTTCGTTCGATGTCTGTATTTTATTAACACGAGCCTATAATGGAGAAAGAGAGAGAAAGAGAAATGCTCAAGTTTTGTTCTGAAAACGATTCGACATCGACCAATCACCCACGATTATTAACCCAGAAAGCTTCAACGGTCCATGGTGTACTTTTTTAAATCGTGCACATCTTGATTTATCGAATCGTTATAAATATCGTCCTTTCAACTCTTTGCTATATTAAGAATTCTTTGTCAAAGTAAAATGAGTTAATTACTGGAAAAAAAAAAAGAGAAATTTTTAAACGGCGATTGCAATACACAGGCGAGAATGTAGAACAATTTAGCGTACGTTCCAATTAGTAAAGCGTTATCGACATAATTGAATCTCGACGGGAAATTTCTCGGTAAAATTGCTGGTGCTTGATCAAACAACACTTAATATCGAGCATAATCGAGATCGGCTGACTTAATCGCCGGATAATTAGTCGCGTGAGGTAACGCCGAGGCGAAACGAACGCGTAATCGACGATTATCGTGTCGTAAAATCGTATTCGTGAAGAACTTTCGATTTCCATTGAGCGTGGCGAGAATTCCTTGATTATCAACCTCGTTAGCGACCAGAAGGATAATCAAGGTGGCAAACCTGTCGATAAGTACAAGCACGTTAATTAGTCACGCTTCTGATTAGACGTTACAGCTGACAACGGCAGCCTGTTGTATCACTCGAATAGGCGTGAAACGATTAGTTTAATCGTCGATGTAAAATCGCGTTTCATAGACACCGATGGATCTGGATTAAAATTGACCGAGACCGTTCAACGGTCGAAGAACTCGTACTCCTCCCTAGAGGAATCTATCAATTATACATTCCAATTGCGAGAAAAAAACAGAGAGAAAAATACACAGCATCGGATTGTTCATCGAATATTTTAATTGCACTCGATAATTGAGCGCACCGGATAATTGCAATTATTCGTTCGTTTATTGCTACGAGGAGCATCTGCCCGCGAACCGTGAACGATTACCATTATTGATCGTTCGTCTCGGAAAGAACGAAACCGCTGAAAAGAAAAGCATTTTCTATTTCAAACCCTTCCTTTGTCCAGCTAATTCTCTCTCCATAAGAATCGTTTCGCGATCGGGGATTAAAGTCTGTCAGCTGAGGTCATAATCGAAATAACGAAATCGAAAGGGTTGCGTTAGAGGAAGTTTCGGATATAAAGGGATTACGCGAGGCTCTGCAACGCGGCGACGAAGTATTTTAATTAGGCCAGGCTTTTGAGATGGTCGATACCCGATGCATCGAATGCAAGGCCGTCGTGCAATCAAGAGGGGGAGGGATCGCAGAAAACTGGATTAGCGAGCATTCGCCTCCTATCTCTGTCGCGTTTTTGTCGCGACGGTTATCAGCCGATAAGTCGGGGAACAGGGACGTCCCATTTGCACCGGCTAGCGGGGTCCTTTTTCGTCGCCGCGGCTCCTCCATTATCGTCGAACAACTTTTACCCCCTTCGCGTTAACCATCCCGCGACCACTTTGCGTCGGCCAATGCGAAATTAAAGCTCGATCGTTCTTCGTCGAAAAATTTCGTTTACTACCTAAAAATTCTCATTCCCCTTTCATTTCGATTACCATTACTCTCGTGGTACCGATCGCCTTACCAACGCTTACAGCATTGAACGTGTTAATTACCGGTGCTGTATATTTGACAAATACAATCGCTAACATAATTGACAATTAATCTAGATTAAAACTGGTTCGACCAGAACTCTCGCGATTCTATCTACGTTTATCGTACCACAAAATCGATCTTCGACCGGCTGATTAATCTGGAAACGGCCGATTTCCTAAAGCCGATTTCCACGAGGAACATTCGAGGCGACGTGGACGCGTTTTAGCAACAGAATCGAACGGGTAGAGGCGGGTTAAGAATTTTTTCTGTCGGTTTCGTTGGCAGCCTGCGCGGATCGGCGAATCAGAAGTCGGCCAGAGGGGCCGGTGAGCGAGACAAAAACGGATCGGGTCCGGTGTCAGCGGGTGACGGATGGGCCGGTAAGCCCGTTCAAGGTCTATCTGGACCCCACGAAACCTCGTTGCACGCAGGCCGCGTTTGTCCGGACTCTGTAAACTCTCTGATCGAGATCGCGGACGATCTTTCAGCGGCGAAGCTCAGCTTTCAACGTGAACGAGGCCGGATCGAACGGGAACGGAAGTTGAAATCACATTGCTCGCCCCGATGCTCATCCTTGTTCCAACTTCGCCCTCTTAACGTTCCTTCTACTTTCTTCATCTCTTGTTTTACGCGAAATATAATTGATTAGACGACGCCTGATCGGGCAACCTGTTGTGCGCTATGTTCCACGACCATCTGTCGTCCGTTCAATTATATCTAAGAAAAATCCAATTGCCTGTATCAATGGCACGGAGCAAATTGATCTATCCAAGGCGTGCCAGGTACGAGGCAGGGAACGCGACACTTTATAACTCAGCCGCTGAAATAACACGTGTCAACCGGTCGAGCGATACTTTTTAAAGGGAGTATCCACCGGCAACGGCGAGTCACCTCGCCCGATGGCCAACAGGATGCGGAGTGCGGCTTTCCAGATAACCACAGCGTTATTTCAGGATCGCGACTCCGAGTGCCGGCAGGAGTCGCGGTTTTTGCTCCTACCCGGAGAATTCTGGACGAACGAACACGCGCGCGCGCGCAGAACCCGATGAGGAAAGGACCAAACGGTCGGACGACAGAGATCAAACAGCGAGGACATCTCGGGGTGATAAATTCTTCCGTCTAGCTATTCGTTGGAATTCCTTGTTTTCTATGAAATTGCTCTAAACCATCTCGTATCTACCACTTTATCATTTCTTTCAAATATTTGGAAACATAAACGAAGGTAGATCTGAATAATAGATCTGCGTGGGATGTAATTGATAATTATATATTTTTAATGAGAATCTGAAAGGCTACCATTTCAAGTTTTAAAGCTCAAACCGATGGTGTTTTTATCGAAACCTTTACAGAATTCACCAGCTGCAAACGTTACTGTCAGCCCGGTTCCACTTTTCCCATCCTACCCCGTGACTTTCTTCTTTCTCCCGTCGTCGGACGTTTAATTGGATGGATCGAAGAGACATCGACCCACGAAACGACGGGCTGACTTCGCGTAACAATGGATACCCAGCCAATTTTTTCTCTCCTCACTCCACTCGTGGAGAACAGTGCGATGCACTCTTCTGCGCGACCGATCGAAGTATCCTCGCGTGAAAATACGAGGATCGAGGACGAACGACCGTTCGAACGATCTACTTCTTTTCGTGATTAAAAAAAAAAAAAATAGGAGAAAAGCGTGCAACGTGGATCGGTGGAAACGAAGGCAAACTATGGCTGCACGCGCCAGGAGGTTGATTATTTTACGGACACCTCGCGAGATCCAATCTCTGTTATCGCGATCGAGATGAAGCGACAGTGCAACGCGTCCCTTTTCGCCGTCTCGTTCCCTCTTGATAGACCAGACCGACCGGGTTTACAGCTTTTCAATATCTAATCGAGCGAACAAATTATGCCGGCCTGTGTACCTCGGTGCATCGGTGACGCGGAATGATGGATCGTTCGCGCGTACCTTGGGTATCTCTGAAACACCAACGATCCGGTATTCTGGTACGAAGGGAAACCCGGCGGTTCCCTTTTACTTTTCACGCGATATTCAGCTGATTCGCTCTTGGACACGTTCGATGATGTGACGAACAGAGATGCAATCGTGAAACGAGCGGAGAGAATTAACTTGAAGCAAGGGATTAATACTCTCTGCTCAACACAATCTCTATAGTAATTATCAGTACGACTCATCTGAAGTTCGACTTCTTTTCGATAGCGAAATCTCGCGAGGGTTTTCAAGGGATCGTTATTCCCTTTGATATTTACCGCGGTGGATTACGAAAATTGCCGGGAACGATATCGGAAAGCAACGAGAGAACCATGGCCCCCCCTCTATTAATATCATGGCCCCATGTTTCGACGAACGTGCCTTAGGATACCTCGAAACGATCCCGTCTTATCTTTCTTCCTCTTACGAGCTCCCCGAACCGTTCACCAGCGCATCCTTAACATTCAACGAGTACACGGCTTATCTCGGCCAGAGGAGAAGCTATGGTGGCTATAGGAGAAAATGAGATTCGTATAACCGCGGATCGGTACGCGTCTATGCATAGTGGATGGTTACAATGTGACTCTACTCTCCCCGTGGTCGTCTCAATGATTCCTCGAGATATACGATCAAGATTAACCGGTTACCACCTTGAATCGTGTTACACTTTCCGACTGTTACGTCTTCTCTTTCATTTTCTATTCGATACATCATATTGAATGATTTATACCCACAAGATTGGATATCCCTGTCAAATTTCTTCGTTTTTGGTAGAACTTTACGAACGTGTCGGGTGTAAAGGGTGCAATCTAATCCCACCCCTCGGGATAGGGAACTTTAATTTGCATCCGATTAAACTTCACCCGATTGTTGACATCGGTCTATTAACACCTGCGAAGTTTAATCCACGCAAGATTTTGCACCTGAGTAGATTAACACATTGACTTTAATATTTCAACGTTCGATAATTGATTAGATTCCGATTCCTCATAAGACTTATATAATTTTTGGTTCAGCATAAAAAATACTATCGGAAATGATCGTTAAAGAAAACATCACTAAAGGTCGAGGAAAAGCCGAATAGCTGTGTAATTTCGATTCAAAGGGCCAGTTTTTATCGACACCCAGGATAATTAATTATCACCGGATGGATATTACAACCGGTCGTACCATTTTTCCTGGCTGTTGTGACGCAACACGCGTCCCGTACTACAGACCGGAAATAAATCACAGTGTTTTCGCGCGGCCACCAGTCATTAGTCATTAGAACACGCTTATTACGATTCCTTCGTCCCGGGCCTGGATCCCGTCTAAGGCTCGCGATCAATTATAATTAGAGCTCGCTAGATAAGTGGTGGACGCGTTCTAACGCAGCTTCCGAGTGTCTTATCGACACTTCAGACATAAATTACCATTTTAATATCACGATACTGCTAATTATTGTGACAACCCATTACACCTTTGCTTTTTGTACAAGAAAATTCTTGTTCTTTTTAAGCACAGTTTCCAAAGCTTCGAGCTTGAACCTCCTCTGTGCAAAGGGTTAAGATCGTCGAATTTCTTGAAGGTTTATGTAAAATTCAATAAGTATCCTGAGGGGTGTACGTTCAATCAACATCCCTCCCCCTCTGTACCACGGATAACTTGCTCGAGGACTTTCAACGAGAGATTCGTAACGGCAATTCAGAAACGATTTGAATGCTAAATGTGCCGAAGTTTTCATGGCGGAGCGTGGAGGCGAACGTGTAGAGGAAATTCAAGAGCAGTAAGCAAGCAAAAAGCTGGCATCGTTTCACGACGGAAGTAAGGAAGGCAAAGTGTAAGAAAGGTGAGGAAGGAAAGTTGGGTGCCGCACGAGCGTACGCAGCCGGCGAGAAAATCATTAGGAAGGCAAGTCGAAAGAACTGCTTCGATGGTAGGTTCTTGCAGCCAACTTCCCTCCCTGTATCGCCTTACCCTTCGTTTAATTAAATTCCACGAGTGGCTGGCACCCCGTTTTTCTTTTACCATAACCTTCCTACCACCCACCCCCGTCCCTCTTTCTTTTTCAATCTTCCCTTCTATCCTTTCGTTTTCGCGGCAACACGTCGCTTAGGCGTTAACGTACACGCCTGGCGGCCTTGCTAATTGACGGATGAATTAATTAGACGGAATGATCGATCGTATCCGCTTACAGGTGGGATTTATTTTCCATGGATACAACATCCACGTCTACCTGCTACGCGACTGAGAAAACTGTAACTCATTTGGATCAGCATGCGAATTAATTAACAAGTTTCATAATTCGACCTTACTATCTCTACCTAATTTCCTGATTAGAATAGTAAGTTGACACTGGAAACGATACCAATAGGAATATTCCTGTTGCATAAAAAATTTCTAACGATTACAGCTCTGATGAATTTCTAAGTTTAACGCGAATCCGATACCGTAAGGACGTTGAAAATCCCTCGATACCATCGACTTCCTTAACGTCTGCAGTTAAGGGTCGTTCGGGGGCGGATGCGCGAAGGTTCGCCGATCAATCGTACGATCGCGTGAGACACGTACCGTCGGACTTTGGCACCGCATTAATTACCGGTCGCCAACAATGGCACAATAATTAACAATTACGCAGTTTGATAATTATATACCTGCTGGCTGAGTTATCGCCTGCCGCTTGCCGTGACCGTCCTCGTTGCTTCGCACACGTACCCACGCATACGTACAAATATAACGCACACCAATTCCAGGCGAGCCGTGACGCATAGAAGGCAATAAATACACGCGGATCCGGCGGGCCAACGATCTAATTATGCCCGAACAATGGCCGCGTATCGGACGGCCGGCTGAAAACCTGATAAAGCGGATAAAATGCGGGCCTACAGGGCTCCTCTCGGTTTTACATGCTTCGATTCGTGTGTGTGTATACGTATACGTATACTTGTAATCGACGAATTTTAAAAGCGGGCCCCGAAACGAAGAACTCTTGGGTCTGGGCCACGGGCCTCACAAGTGATTTATCTCTCTCGTGTGGCTTCGTAGGAGTCTCTCGGTTTCGCGCGTTCAATCCGTCTTGATTTATAACGAGGCCACGGCTCGCATCGATGCTTCATAATGCCTGGTAATTACCGTAGGTTCCCTTCAAAAATTCACCCTCGACGAGATAAGGTTCGCGACCAAACTTTCCTACCACCGCACCATCTCCTTGACTGATTAATGGACATCGGACGACTCCGCCGCGAGTAATCGCTCGAACGCGAGAGGAAGGCGATATGGTAGCAGGCTACTGTTAACCCTTTCATTGTGTAAGCGCGGTAACCTTCCTTAAAGGAAAACGTGACGTAGAAGAGAAAAAGGAAATCTTTCACCGGAGCATCGAAGTAGATAATGAATTATAATATGGAAATTTCTTCCTTTCCTTCCCAACGTTCTCGCGACTATCGACCGGTTTCCTAGGCACAACGAATTTTGACAAAGTTCGTTACGAAGTTCGCAAAGTTTCAAACGGAATTCGAAGTAAAGTGTTAGTGACCTAAAGCTGTGCCTAAGTTCTAACTACCTCGTCTCTTCGCTTCGTTCCAGAGGCATTGCGAACGAAGGGCGAATCGGTGGTAAGAACACCAATTAAGATTTTCCTTTTCCTTCTTTTTTTTTGAAGTTTCGCTTTCCCGAGAGGATGTGAAACTTCGAATCGTCCGTTCGCTAATTAAAAGTTACAGCCCCTTCCGAATAACTTGGGGGATCTCCATAAAAACAGCTGTGACCTGTAACGTCGGACCCAGAAAATTGACTCTTACGAACTTTACGTTTATCGCGGTGCTTTTTGGAATGTTCGTTTGAAAATTTCTACACGGAGAAAATTCGTTAATACAAGCTTTCTCAACCCCTACATCGATTTTTCGCCAACTCCCTTTATCTTTTTTTTTTTTTTTTTCTTCTTCTTTTTACACCACCCTGGCTCTCGTCCAGCTGTAAATTCTTTCGTACAACCGGGCTCGTGTAAGCTGCGGACTCGGTCCTGGTACACGCGGCCGTATTACCACCGTGCGAGCCTATTTACGCGACCAGTGTCTACTTCCTATTCACGACGAGCCGGTAAATATACACGGCCAAGAGAGACACTTTCTATCGTGGTTATCATGAATTTGCATTAGGCAACGGACAGCCAGTTCCGTGGAAGCCGGAGCTTTATAGAACGCGTTAAATCAGCAATTTCGAGACGTGGCAAGAGAGAAAATGAAACGAGATAAAAATGTCCCTCGACGTTTGTTCGTGGGGATAAAAGTTGAATACTAAGGAGGAATTTTCTTAGACAGCACGAAGTTGTAACAAGCGATTACTGGTACAGTCGATGAACAACTGGCTCCTATTATATTTCTTACAAAGTTTCTCCTACAAAGGTAGGTGTTAAAGGAAACTTCGTTGCTGTTGTTTGAAATTTCAATCGAGATACCGAGTTTATCATCGCGTGATATAAATTTTAATTAAATTAAATGCAATCCCGGTCAGCGTCAAAATCCATGGGACTGCTCTCTCGGTGGCGCATGTTTTATTTATCGAATGGATCGACAATTGTACCGTGCCGCGTCACGACGAAGACTGAGAAAGATGGTACGTACGCGGCGTGATTTATGGGTGCAACACCTGACGGCATTTTGTTCGCTTTTGCA